AAAAACTTCATGTGACACGAATTTCGAATTTATTTTCACATATAGAAAAGCAGCCTCAGGGAAATGTCACACGACTAATATTATTAAAACCGGTTTTCAACTGGCAAATTCTATTTTTTAACTTGGGCGTTACACTAACATGGTTTTTCCAAATTCATGAAATTTGAGTTGACGCATAAATAGTTATAATATGGGTAACAAAAGTAGCAAGATAACGGCGCAAGATCGTGCTATTCTTGATTTAAAAGTTCGACAAGACATATTAAAAAAATATCAGAAAAAGGTAAACGATAACATGATCAAAAAGTGTAATTATAATTATATATCCTTTTTGTATAATTGATTAGTTTTCAATATAAACTATTTATTGTCGATTAGATTGAATTAGTTGCAGATAAGGAAACTAAAATAGCAAAGACAGCATTAAGTCAAGGAAATAAACAAGCAGCTTTATTAGCTTTAAGAAAGAGAAAATATCAACAACAATTATTAAAGAAAATTGATGCAAAATTATTTCATTTGGAAGTATTGGTTTGTATTTATGATATAAGCATTTAATTGATAAATTATTATTATTCACGAGTTGAATTAAAACATCGGAATTAAATCTTATATAATTATATAATTATACAATTGAAAGACACAATCTATAGAATTTGCATTAGTCATAAAAGAAATTAATAAAGGAATTTCAATTGAAAAAGTAGAAAAATTAATGAAAGAAACTGCAGATGCTATATCATATCAAAAGGTATTTACGTTAATATATGTTTGTTTGTACTTGAATTAATGAAAAAGATTGTTTATATAAATGGGATTAATTAATACAATATTGATGATTTTCAGGAAATTGAAGAGTCGTTAAACGGGAAAATAACAGATGAAGATGAAAATGAAAATGAGGCTTTGAAAGGATCGAATAGAGTTCAAGCAGAAGAAGTAAATTACCATCGTATGATAATGATAACGATAAATGTCAATTATTGTAATTAATTATAATTTTTAAATTATACTAATAGCCTGAAGAAAAACTTCCCAATGTTCCTGGCATTCGATTTCCTACAGTCGAAGAAAGAATTCAAGCAGAAGAAGTAAATTATCATCATATTATATATAACGATAATGATAAATAATAATGATAAATGTTATGATTCTAAATTAATTATAATTTTAAATTATACCAATAGCTTGAGGACAAATTTTCCAAAGTTCCTGGCACTCGATTTCCTACAGTTGAAGAAAGTTTTGTTTATTTTATTATTTTTTTTATTTACTATTCGTTATTATTAACCAGATAATCAAATAATTGATCATATGAATGAACAACTTGTATATAATAATAATAAGAGATTTCGACCTGTGCCTTAAGAAAAATCCCTTTAACTAGAAATTAAGATAGAGTTTTAGAACCAACCCCTCTAAATAGAAACTTAAATTTATTAATCAAAGAAAGATAACTCAATAAGTCTCATTCTGAGTATCGAGTACATCAAAACTATTCAAATAGCTCTCTCTTTGAAAGTTCTTCGTCTTAATCTTGGTCTTTCGTGATCCTACACTTCTAACAATTAATTATCTTCTTAATTATCTTTTATACTCATTTCATATGTATCTATCTTATATTTTACCCTTAAATAAAGAAATAAATAACACCGAAAAGCATTTCTTATAATTAATTGAATGTATTATTATTTGTTAAAATTTATTAAAGGAAAGTAGACCATGTCCACTTACTATAAAAGAACTGATTCGTGTAACTGGCAGTAGGAATAGAAAAACTGCGTGTTTAAACTGTATTTTTTGTAAAAATAGCATCGAATGAAAGTTTGAAACTTACTCCTTCACTTAAGTGGTATACATCAGATGAGAATTAGGGATCTGTAAATAAATATTTTTGGATAAATTGATTTCCCCACGTGACAAGTTTTATATGTGAACATGGTGAATGTTTTAATTATTCAATAGACTTCATATAAAATAATTGGAGCAGCATGTTCGATAAATTCAATAAGAATTTGGCTTATTCTCTTCTTTCTCTTCAGATTTGTCTTTACTTTGTTGATAAGGTCTTCTATTCCGATTTTTTGATGGTAAACTGTTTTCTCATAATTGCTTTTTTAAATCCTTGTTCATTTTCAAAATATAAATTAACATAGAAAATTTATTTTCGAGTTATTGCCAATAATTAAGTCGGCACAGGCAAAGTAAATTTTGGTTTATTCATAATAACAAAATCTAATTTATTTTCTATTCATGAATGGCTAATCTACTTTTTTATTCCTATAAATTTTCCAACTAGCCTTGAATCATCATTATCAACATCTAATCACACTTTTGAGTCATTTAATTAAAAAAAAAAGTTATAAAGGTTTAAAGTTGGGTAACTTTGCTATTTTATTTGAAATTTCGGCAACTATATATCTAAACTGCAATTTACAGATTATTTACCAATTATTCACGTGACAAAGTCACAGATCTTTTACAAATTTGGATTTATTTTATATATTGGATTCTTTATAAAGCAAGATCAGCATAAAAATTTTCGGTAAGTGGCGCAGCACATGATGTCTTTAGATGATTCGCACCATATTGATAACATTCCTATTGCTTATAATTAAAAATAAAACTTCCTTTTGTATTTTTATATGCAATTTTATTCCAATTAAGTGGATTATAACCACCAACTATTTGCTCCGAATTTTGTATTTTGCCAACTATAAGAGTTCTGTTGATATTATTGCATTTTTGATGGAATTCGGTTGCTTTTAAACCATCTCTACTACTATGGTATAGAAGCTTGAATACATATTTGACTTCCCTGAACAAACTATATGGTTGACTTTTCCTATCAATCCAACTTGCAAAAAGCAAAGTAAAATTTTTATTGATTGTCAATGATTCAAGTATTGAACCTCTTGATGGTAACAAACACAATCTTTGTTGTCTATCTGGAAATAAATAATAGTGTAAAATATCCTTCCACAATGCCTTAGGAAAAAGCATTTGATATGGCATAATTTTATTAAAAAAATCATCTCTAGAAATATCCTGAAATCTTATTAGAGAAAAGAATTCTTTTAATGTGTTGCCTAAATTAACAAAATTTTGTGATGACCAATCTTCAACATTGTTATTATTGATTTCTGGATGTTTTACTAATCCCCATTTAAGAATGTTTTCCAGATAACCATCTCATCAACTGAAAAATCATCCCTTTTAAAAATTTCCAATAGAAATAATTTTTCACTATAATCACAAAGATTTTCTAGATAAATATTTTTCAATTTATTAAAATTTTTGTTGGCATAAATCAATTGTAGAATTTTAACTGGATTTTCTTTCATATATTCTTCATGATTTTCAATAAAATATTTCATCATAAATTCATAAAGTGACTCAATACCAAGTTCATATGCTTCAGTTAATAATTCTAATACTTCAGCTCCAGAATAATTTTCAAATTCAACTTTACATGTATATAAAAATCTTTCAATTAAATAAATCATCATCATTATATATACATATTACATAATAGCAAATAAATAATAGTTTTGTTTAAACTTACTTGAGAACAGGCTTGAAACATTTTTCATTAATACTAGCTTTCTTAATAATATAATATCCATTTTCTTTTGTTGCATCACTTAAAGCATTGCTAAAAAATGGGAAATGAGCTGATATGATAGATGCATGTGCATGAATTTCTTTAACATTTGATTCTAAACCAACATATATTTTTACATCATAAAAATCTTCAGTATTTAATAATCTTTCATTTTCATTAAAATATTTTTCATATATTGTTAAAGTGATGACCAATCAATAATTAATAATAATTCATATTACATAAAAATTGTAACACAATCTGTATATATATATTCAAAACAAACGCGAGTTTTTTTCTCTATCACCTACACGATCTTGGCTCTCATAGTTAGAAGATGGAGTATAATGTTGATGATATTTTAAAAGCATTTCTGAACGCAAGTTGTACATTACAAATTCTTTTTTCTGAGCTTGCAAACCGTTAAGCGCAATGGCAATCTAGTCAATAATAATAATAAGTTGCTACCATGACCCATTGGATAAAGCTACACAGTCGCATCTGCTTTCCTTGGAATGTATTTTACAATGTATTCAGAAGGTTCTTTCGTCTTGTATAAAACATTTGCTAATTATATCCATTTATATGTATTTTTAGGCTAAAAGAAGACGAAAAATCAAAAACGAAACATATTGCTACCCAGGGTCGGCAAATTGACTGGTCTATTGAGAGCTGATGGACTTTGGACTGATCATTGCCATTAATAAAATACTAAATATGGTTAAAGTGTTATGCTAATGGACCCAATAGACCACCAATAGACCATAAATGGACCGCACATTTGCCAATCCTGGTTTGGGTAGTTAACAAATATTTCTACTATTCATTTACCTCCAAGCAACATTTATAAACCAAATACAACTTCATTGGGTAATTGCTATTTTTTTTCCAGTTTTTAATTTATAGACTTGACTCTAATATATTCAAGCTTACAGGATCGAATATGATATTGAACCCACGCATCAACGTCTTGTTGTTGAGGAAAGCACCTCAAATAAAGACAGGGTAAAAGGGGATATCGTTGTATCTCACTTTCGGATATCCGTCAGGTCATGTCTTTAGAAATGAGTGGAGCTCCAAGAAATATTTTAAAAGTTAAAACACTCCGAGAACGAATTGACTCTTTAAATTCTATTCTTTTGAATTTTCTAATTATGATGCAAGGTTTGCGGGGAAGATTTGCTCACTAACTATTCAAGGCGAATATTGTTTTTGGTTGTTATTCAGATTAAAAGCAGACCATCATTGATTTTTTTTTGGTCCATTATATAATAGGAGATCATCTTACATTAATAACAATATTTTAAAAGGAAGTTGATGAAGAAATATTATCTGCGGCTTTTCCACTTAGCTAGGATTTCCGATTTCAATTTCATGAAATTTTAAAATCATAGAACATGTGATATTATCTGTCATAGAATATCACAATGTTGTTAAAGAGCTGATAAAGCACCCGGAAAATTCATATAGTGCAGGACACCTAGTCCCACAACTTTTTATTGGTCTTTTATATTCTTTAGTATACCAGAAATGGAAATGTAA